GTATCCCAGGTGTATCCCAGGTGCTCCCAGGTAACTCCAGGTGTGTCCCAGGTGTATCCCAGGTAACTCAGGTGTATCCCAGGTGTATCCCAGGTAACTCCAGGTGTGTCCCAGGTACTAAACATGTACGGGAAGGTGGTGACGGTGCGGCACCAGGCTCTCAGGTGTATCTCAGGTGTATCCCAGGTGCCCCCAGGTAACTCAGGTGTGTCCCAGGTGCTGAACATGTACGGGAAGGTGGTGACGGTGCGGCACCAGGCCGTGTCCCGCAAGAAGGACAATCGCTTCGCCGTGGCGCTGGACTCGGAGCAGAACAACATCCACGTCAAGGACATCGTCAAAGTCATCGACGGCCCCCACTCCGTGCGTCGGGGGCTTTGGGGCATTTGTGGGGGGTTTGAGGCATTTTGGGGGGCACTTTTGGGGTGTTTGGGGCATTTTTTTGGGGGGGTTTGGGGGTATTTTTGTGGGGTTTGGGGCATCCTTGGGGTGTTTTGGGGCATTTTTTGGGGAGTGTTTGGGGCATTTTTAGGGGGTTTGGGGCATCCTCGGGGTGTTTTGGGGGGTGTTTTGGGGTATCCTCGGGGTGTTTTGGGGTGTATTTGGGGGGTTTTGGGCATTTTTGGGGGGGTCTCACCCAGGAACTTGGGGGATCTCACCCAGATGTTTCGAGGGTCTCGCCTGGGAATTTGGGGGGATCTCACCTGGGAATTTTGGGGGGGGTCTTATCCAGGAATTCTGGGGGTTTCGCCTGGAAATTTTGGGGGTCTCACCCAGAATTTTGGGGGGGATCTCACACAGAATTTGGGGGGGATCTCGCTCGGGAATTTTAGGGGTCTCACCCAGAATTTTGGGGGTTCTCCCCGTGAATTTTGGGGGGGTCTCACCCGTGAATTCTGGGGGTCTCACCCGTGAATTCTGGGGGTCTCACCCAGAATTTTGGGGGTTCTCACGGTGAATTCTGGGGGCTCACCCCTTCCTGCAGGGCCGCGAGGGCGAGATCCGCCACCTGTTCCGCGGCTTCGCCTTCCTGCACTGCAAGAAGCTGGTGGAGAACGGGGGCATGTTCGTCTGCAAGACGCGGCACCTGGTGCTGGCGGGGGGCTCCAAGGTGGGCAGCGCCCCCGGACCCCCCGGATTTCCCCTTTTTCCCTCTTTTCCCCCCCGTTCCTGACCCCTCCCTGCCCGCAGCCCCGTGACGTCACCAACTTCGCCGTCTGCGGCTTCACGCCGATGTCGCCGCGCATCAGCAGCCCCATGCACCCCAGCGGGGCCGGTGAGTGCCCGGGGGGGGTCCCGGGGGGCTGGGGGACCCTCTGGGGACCCCCCTGACCCCCCCCAACCCCGCGCCCCCCACCCAGGCCAGCGCGGCGGCTTCGGGGCCGGGGGGCTGAGCCGGGGCCGCGGCCGGCGCGACAACGACCTGATCGGGCAGACGGTGCGCATCTCCCAGGGGCCCTACAAAGGTGGGCTTGGGGGGCTTTGGGGGGAGGCTGGGGACATCCTTGGGGCGTTTTGGGGCGTCCTTCGGGTGTTGTGGGGCATTTGTGGGGGTCTGGGAATATTCTTGGTGTTTTGGGACATTCTCAGGGTGTTGGGGGTGATCTGGAAGATGTTTTGGGGTATCCTTGGGGCATTTTGTGGCAATTTTTGGGAGTTTGGGGGCATTTCTGGCGGGTCTGGGGACATTTTTGGGGGGTTTTAGGGCATCCTCGGGGTGTTTTGGGGCAATTTTGGGGGGTTTTGGGGCACTTTTGGGGTGTTAGGGGGCATTTTTGGGGTGTTTGGGGGCACCCTCAGCGTGTTTTGGGGGATATTCAGGGTGTTCTGGGGCATCCTGGGAGTGTTTTGGGGCACATTTGAGGCATTTCGGGTGGTCTCACCCAGGAGTTTTTTGGGGGGGGGGGTCTCACCGAGGACCTTTGGGGACCCCCCAAACCCGTGGTGGGGGTCCCCAAACCCTCTGACCAGCCCCCCGGGTGCCCCCCAGGCTACATCGGGGTGGTGAAGGACGCCACGGAGTCGACGGCGCGCGTGGAGCTGCACTCGACGTGCCAGACCATCTCCGTGGACAGGCAGCGCCTGACCACTGTGTGAGTGTGGGGGGACACCCCGGGACCCCCCTGGGCGGGGGGACACCCCCGGAGCCCCCCGGGACCCGCCGAGGGGGCCACCGACACCCCCAGGGCGCCGCGGATTCTCTCCCTGCCCGCTCTCCGCAACCCCACCCCGGTTTTTGGGGGGTCTCGGTGACCTCCCCCTCGTTTTCGGGGGTCCCCTCTGACGCCCCCGTCCCCGCAGGGGGTCCCGGCGGCCCGGGGGCCTGACCTCGGCCTACGGGAGGACCCCCATGTACGGCTCGCAGACCCCCATGTACGGCTCGGGGTCCCGCACGCCCATGTACGGCTCGCAGACCCCGCTGCACGACGGTGAGTGGCACGGCTGCCCCTGCGGCGGGCGGGGACGTTTGGGGACAGTTTGGGATGTTTGGGGACCTTTGGGGGCCACAAGGAGAGCTGGGGACGTTTGGGGACAGTTTGGGGACCTTTGGGGGCCACAAGGAGAGCTGGGGACGTTTGGGGACAGTTTGGGTTGTTTGGGGACCTTTGGGGGCCACAAGGAGAGCTGGGGATGTTTGGGACAGTGGGGGACATTTGGGGATGTTTGGGGACAGTTTGGGATGTTGGGGGACACCTGGGGACATTTGGGAACAGTTTGGGAACAGCTGGGGATGTTTGGGGACATTTGGGGATGTTTGGTGACAGCCAAGACATTTGGGGATGTCTGGGGACAATTGGGGATGTTTGGGGACAGTTTGGGGATAATGGGGGACATTTGGGACATTTGGGGACAGCTGGGGATGATTTGGGACATTTGGGATGTTTGGGGACAGCTGGGGACAGTTTGGGGACATTTGGGGACAGTTTTAGGGCCGGGGGGCTCGGGGTGGGGGGTGACAGGAATTTTGGGGTGCCCCCCAGGAAGCCGCACCCCCCACTACGGCTCCCAGACCCCCCTGCACGACGGGAGCCGGACCCCGGCCCAGAGCGGGGCCTGGGACCCCAACAACCCTAACACACCCTCCAGGTGAGACCCCCCCCAAAAACTGCCTCTTTTGGGGTGTACCCCCCCAAAAACTGCCCCTTCTGGGGTGACCCCACCCAAAACAGCCCCCGACCCCCCGTGGGGTCCCCTAACCCAATTCGGGGGTTCCTTCCCCTCTCTCTCGGGGGGGTTCCCACTTTCGGGGACCCCTCCCCAATTTGGGGGTCTCTCTCGGGGGGGTTCCCACTTTTGAGGACCCCTCCCCAATTCTGGGGTCTCTCTCTCGGGGGGGTTCCCACTTTCGGGGACCCCTCCCCAATTCGGGGGTCTCTCTCTCGGGGGGGTTCCCGCTTTCGGGGACCCCTCCCCAATTCGGGGGTCTCTCTCTCGGGGGGGTTCCCACTTTCGGGGACCCCTCCCCAAACTCCCCGCAGGGCGGATGAGGACTTCGAGTATGGCTTTGAGGACGAGCCCACGCCGTCGCCCCAGGGCTACGGGGGCACCCCGAACCCCCAGACCCCCGGGTACCCCGACCCCGCCTCGCCCCAAGTCAGCCAGCCCTACAACCCCCAGACCCCCGGCACGCCCGCCATGTGAGTGCAGACCCCCAGAGACCCCCAAAATCCCCCCAAAATCCTCCCAAAATCTGCAGGGTTGGGATACAGGGACTTGGGAGCCCAAAATCTCCCTGAAATTCCCCCAAAATCCCCCCAGAATCCCTTCAAAATCTGCAGGGTTCAAATATGGGGAGTGGGTGAGGGGGAAGGGGGTAAACGGTCCTGGGGACCCCAAAATGGGACCTGTGAGTTTGGGGGACCCCAAAATGGGGGTTTGGGGTGGGGGGGATCCCGAAATGGGACCCTGGGGGAGGAGGAGCCCCAAAATGGGACCCTGGGGGACCCCAAAATGGGGGTTTGAGGTGGGGGATCCCGAAATGGGACCCTGGGGGAGGAGGAGCCCCAAAATGGGACCCTGGGGGACCCCGAAATGGGGGTTTGGGGTGGGGGGGACCCCAGAAGGGGGCCTTGGAGCTGCTCCTGGGGTTTGGGGGACCCCAGGGTTTGCCTGGGAGCGTGGGGGCGGCTCGGGTGCCCCCAGGTGACTCCAGGTGTGCCTGCAGGTACAACACGGAGCAGTTCTCGCCCTACGCCGTCCCCTCTCCCCAGGGCTCCTACCAGCCCAGCCCCTCCCCACAGAGCTACCACCAGGTGGCCCCGAGCCCGGTGGGCTACCAGAACACGCACTCGCCGGCCAGCTACCACCCCACGCCCTCCCCCATGGCGTACCAGGTACCCCCGAGCCCCAAAACACCCCAAAACCATCCCAAAAACACCCAAACCACCCCACGCCCTCCCCCATGGCATATCAGGTACCTGGGACCCCAAAAACCACCCGGCGACCCCAAACCCCCCCTTGTATCCCCCCAAACCCCCTTGTATCCCCATGTACCCCCCCAAACCCCCTTGTATCCCCTTTGTACCCCCCCAAACCCCCTTGTATCCCCCTGTACCCCCCCAAACCCCCTTGTATCCCCCTAAACCTCCCTTGTATCCCCCCAAAC